ATATTGCACAACTTTTTCCTCGAGGATTGTTTCTTTAAGAGGAAGAAACGAAAAAATTCCCCCAGACTTCCTATTCTATAATTCCTACCAATTCGTGGGAAAAATGTAAGAACGATGGAAGCATTTTGAGCGCGAAGAACAGTTTGGTATAAAATATGTGCTCAAACTATGACGCAGATCCGGGATTGAATTATTCATACTTGTGTAAGCAGTAGCCAATTCGTGGTGGAAGCGGCATGCGGGGGATGTTTGACCAACCTGAATAATTTAGTCGGATCGCTGAGAACGGATTGCTTGATATTACTTCCTTGCTCGAAGAGAGGATCAAAAACTCACTTGGAACAAATGCTTCAATTGAAACTGACTGACAGAATGACAAAACATCCGGCTTCGATTGATCCCTTTGTGAGATACACCATGCATTCTACTGCTATTCACAGGATTCTGTATTGAATGCGATTTGGCCACTGCAGTGACTTGAGAAGCTGATATAGGAAGATGTTCATCTTCCCAAACCCGTCTCGTAATAGTTAACAGGGACAAATGGAAGCGTGGTTGGCTTTAACGTAGCGCTCATGGCGTTGGGGGGGGGGATTGGGAATATTCAAAACACGGCACTCAAAGAACGCTGGCAGGTGACACTGGGATCAAGCCTAGGAGAGAAGAAAAACGTCAGAGAAACCAAAATCGCTCACATCCTCCAACCGGCCTCCCGAAGCTAATAAAAGGGGAAAGGCGGCCCCCCCGCCCTCAACCCAACAGAGGCGGCGCAATGGAAAAAGTGGACGCAAACGGGGCCATGAACACACCAATGCACTTCGGCATGGCGCCGGGGAAGCAAGAGCGAAGGCGAGTGACGAGGCGCCGGGGCAGGCATTGACGTGCAAACATGAATACGTGGGCATCAGCGATTAAGGGCGCGGAGAGGTGAAGCAAACGTCCCAACGCATGCGGCGCTCAACCGCAACGCCGGGCGCAGAAGGTAATTGCGCGAGGGAAAAATGAGATAGACGCAAGTGAACGACAGTGAGAAAAACTGAGAAAAACCGGGGCGACAAGGCCGTTAGCAACCACGAGCATGAAGCTGGCTTGGAAGAGGCACGTACAAAAGTTTTCTGAGAGTCAGTCGTTCTATCGGTTGATACGGCAATCAACCTAGCTGATTTCACACGTTATGCCAGCCATGCACCACATCCCAAGGTGGGCGGTCGTAGCGGGGCCAGGCGGCGATAGCGCATAGTACATGCCCTGGGGCCTTATTACCGCGCCGTTCGAGATTTTGAGCGTGGGAACATCTGTACGGGTGCGTAACCAAGTACAGACATGACCGAAAGGGTTGGTTTGGTCAACTAATCCCGACCTTTGCCTTTAATAAACTGTTTTGTACCTATGACTTCATTCTGCCTACTTATTGTATGCATTCTGCATAAGCTGTGAGCCGGGACACTTTGAAGACTCTCATTATGCTGCGATTTCAGACATCTGGTTTGGGAGCACTCAGACACAACACAGTGGTGATATCGTGGCCAGAGCAATGGCATACGGAACACTCATGGAATGTGGGCCATCGTTTTGTTTCAGCCCTCAGGGCATGCTCGGCTGCTAAGTGAGTCCTTGGCGTGCCATTTGCATAATTTTTCACTCGCTAGTCGTCGTTTAATTCGATCCCATCGATCAGATATATCGAGTGCAATTTTTTGATATTTATGAAATCGTAAAGTTATAAATAATGATTGATCTTTCATCCATTTTTTGAGCCACTATTCCATAAAATCCATAGTGATTATTCATTGTTATCCATTCCATAGGGTGGATTTAATAGGTATCATTAATCTGCTTACTATACAATGTATTAGATATTTCCGTTCATCGACGCGACAACGATGAAATCGGAAACAGATTTTATTGAAGAGGGGGCACGAGTATACAAGTGAGAAGGTTTGGTCCATACTTCTATGTACTATACAAGCCATGCCACCTAAGCTGGAGCGGGGGAGGAGAGAAGTTGAAGCTCAGGATCATCTGATCCACCTAAGGCAGTTGGTGAAGTAGAAGTGAACCTAAACTGTCTTCAATGCGGACAACCTTCACATTTATATGTTTATTCAAAGTTGTATATATGTGTATGTGCAGCTCTTTATCGGATATTTATTTTAAAATATTCAGGTGCGCCATTCTTGTGCCGAAGAACGTGGAACGATTCCCACCGTCCAACACGAAGGTGTCTGGCAATCTGGATGTTTGGTAAGTGCACTGAATTACACACCTAGGAATTCCCCCAACATTTTTTTTTCAAATCTGCTATTCAGGTGGGTGGTCCATGACGGAGGACTGTTGATGTTGTTGCCGTTCCTGCTTCGACAACACAAGACATGGAAAAATGCAGTAATTCGACTGTTCGCAATCGCACAGTTGGAGGTTGGTTCGATTTCTTGGTTCCTCAAAGTGGCGCAAAGTCGCAAAGTACAGGGACATTGTGATAGCAATGCAGATGTCTGAAAACACTCTTTTGTTAGAATCGTGCTTAAAGCAACAGTTCAGGGAGGGTCCGAAAATTTCAATGCCACTACTACTGAGGGATACACGAGCCCTAGTGAAGAACATATGCAGTGGAAATAATAAACGAACTTACCTCAGAAACTCAAAAACAGGGTGGAAAGTCCCTCAAACATGGGTGTTCTTGGGGATTTCCCCAATCCCGCCCCCTTGCCGGCCGTCATTGGACGCGTCGGCAATCGTGCTCGTTTTGGGACCACAGGGAAAATTGATTGAAAAATGGAGCGCGTTTACAGCGGGCACGTTCAGACAACTCGTCCAACGTGCGTCTTTATCCATTGCTGAGCGGCAGAGGGAGAGTACCTGTCTAAGACCCTCCCCGACGTTTTTTTCCAGTTTTTCATACATTAATCGTCTGGTTTTCATCTACAACTTCATTATTGGTGGTTTTTTCCCGCGAAACCGTTCCTGAACTGTTGCTTTAAAGGAATCTTCCACGGAAAAAGCTCCGCCCTCATTACCACAGAAAACGATACCTTAAAGGAATCTTCCACGGAAAGAGTGATCATTTTGTCTTGTGTGTAGGATTAGTATTATCGAAACTAACGCTTATGTTCCGTTCTTTTTGCTATGCTCATGAGGCTAGGGGCCTAAGGGTATCGTTTTTCTGTGGTAATGGAGGCGGAGCTTTTTCCGTGGAAGATTCCTTTAACCATAGGGCGGTGGGGGGGGGGGGCGTAGAGACTTAGGCGCTCATTTTCCCCAAAATTCCTGCCCCCTTTCCTAAGCTCATTATTAATCCTAGGGATGCCCCGTATCTTGTGATAACACCCCCAAAGTCCGCCTAATATCCCGTAGATGAGTTTGTCCTAAGATAAGTCCACTTGGCGCACTGAGGCGCTATCAGTGAAACATGTTGCTTGTTGCTCAATTGGTGTTTATTGTTTAACTCAGTTGGTTTTGTCATAATTTTTTCCTTTGCAAAATCAAGATCTGTGTACCAACACTTGTTGAGCAAAAGGTGGTGCGAACGAGTACGTCTCTTTGAAAAAAAAGGAATTCTCGTCGGATTTTAGGAAGAAGAGAGGAGAAGAAAGTGGGGAAAGTTGAATTCCCAATGTATTCTATAGGTAATTAACCTCCCTTCAAAAAAGCCAGAAAGTGTCGGGTGCAGACCATACACCACAAGTGACGACGGCCTCCAGAAAATGCAAATGTTTTTTGCCAATGAAATGATTAACCTGTTACAGTTGTATTCGATCAGTTGACACTAATTACAACTATCATTTACTAAAATCAGCTATCACTATGAACCACTACTAACCAGATTTACTTGGAGGCCGTCGTCACTTGTGGTGTATGGTCTGCACCCACAATTTCTGGCTTTTTGAAGGGGAGGGTAACTATGCTGAATGAGACAAAACGAAATGAAATCAATAAAGGTCCGATCAAACCAGAACCGATCAGCCTTTTGAACAAAGCGCTTTGACGCTTCCCTCAGAGTTCGACTTGATCTACAAAAAATGATTTTTGACGACTTTCACGGAATTTCCTCCTTAGCTGTGTGTGATTGGAAAGAAACTGGCCCCATGTGAATTTCTATATATTGTGGAAGTGCTGACAAACGTAATCAGCCATTTTAGGACAATAATGTGCAAATGAAGTCCGATCTCGAAAAGTTCCTATACCACCTCCGTATCGAAGCCGAGGTCTTTGTCATTGAAATGGTGAGTTTCATGTTTCTCTAGTATACCAGTAATTAACAGACTATTTCTTTGAATACAACAAGCTATACTCTTAGCTCTGCACAATAGCTGGCATTAACACTGAATGGTTTCAGCCTGACTCGGACATTTCCGACTATACGTATGAGCGAACGCTGAAAATGGAAGAGCGAACTAAATTGCTGAAGAATTTGAATAAAGCGGATCGCGAGAAAGATCTCCAGACGCATATCGAGGAGGTTGTGAGGGAGAGGAAACTCAGCAAAATTAACGAGGAGGAAATGGTGAGCATCACTCTATTCATAGCGTCATGTAAATTTTGACTGTGGACTAAACAGACAGGAGCTAGATATTTGTGTGCTAAGTTAGCGAAATCCGCAATCGCAAAGGTATAATTACCAGCTTTCTAATCAAAAGCGCGTGGTAATGTCACAAGGAGCTTACGACTTGCATCAGAGCACAACCGAAGCTTCGATGTACTGGACCCGAATGTGTTGGGGTATGCGTCTCTCCCTTTCTCTATGCTCTCTCTTGTTTCCGGTATGTTCTCTCGCCACGTTGCCAGGGTTTCTTCTGCTGTTTTTGGTGTTTTCTTATCCTTCCTTTCGCTGACGATCCACTTCGCCGAACCCAGTAAAAACGATCCACTTCGCCGAAC